CGAAAGTGTTGGCATTGAGTAGAGGACATAGATACTGTAATCAGATTACATTGTATGTTGAAGTGAGTAGTTCTGGGTATCGTATTTATTCAGAATCTAGGGAACTTTCTCACCGACCCTTTCGCTACATGAAGTTTGCAAGATTCTTAATGGGAATTTGTAGGTCATAACATGCCTTCTAACAACGGCTTTTCTCGATTCTGACTCATTTGCTGAAATCTGGTGAACTTTATGAAGTGCCATCACTTACCATTTTCGGGGCTAGTGAGGTTGAAATCGTAGTTGCTAGTTTCCACTTATTGGAAAAGGCGCGTCCGGCCTTCATATCACGTGTAAATTCGCGCGTATGTCGCTAGTGCTATCCCAACTACCCGTGAATGCAATTGGCTGAGGGCGCAGCGTTTTGCTTCGAACACGCTCAACATTCGTTTGTATGTGTCCGTCTCCATTGGAAATGAGTACGTTCTTTCCATTCTCTGCGCGGCCTAATGGTAAAAAATAAGGATCAAGTGAGCAATAACCTAGGGATAGTGCTTCTCTTGCCTAATCAGTCTTGCATTATATCGTTTGAAAGCGTGTAATTGATGGAAATGGCGAGTATTACTTCTATCTTCAGAGTTTCAGTGACGCCAGCACCGGTACCTTTGAGCTCACGTCAAAAGCGTAGTGGACAGAGTAGAGGACAGCATAGTGCCAATGCAACCGCTAATGCTGCCACCTCAGCATCAATGGCTGCGATGGCTTCGGGTGTGCGTTCTGCCAAAACTGAGCTACCGGGCATCTCCGTGACGTCCGCTGGACAGCAGCAGCAACAGCAGCACCATCATCGTCATCGTAATGCCACTCCCACTGTCTCTCATTCCTCTTCCTCTTCCAATCGGGTAAGTGTCTTCTTCCCTCTTTGGCTTTCGTTTTTTTATCTCATTCTGTGTTGCCACTCTCCTTCAAGGAGGAAGTTACAAGTGGAGATGTTTCAGCCCCGACAGCTGTGGTTAAAGTTGCGGAGACTATTGTAGAGGATGTAGTGGAGAATGTTCGGGAGGAATTCAAGGAAGTTGGCGGCGGTGTGAGCAATTCACAAGCGCGTGCCTCCGATGCGGTGGTGGTAGTGGTGGAAGGCAAGAACCTTGGCTCAGCATCCAGTCAAATGGCTCTAAACCCTACTGCTGCCGCCAGCTTATCTGCAGACAGTGGTCATCATTCCTCTAGTACAGAGCACCGTCGCCCTCACGATATCCCTGGCTATCACTCGTAAGTAAACTAAAAATTTTATTTGTGTATCCTCTTCTGGCTTCTTTTTTCGCCTTATTTTCTACAGACCTCAGTCCTCAGCACATCAGAGTACATGGACACGGAACTTCCTTCGGGCACTTGGAAGCTTCCTTCAAGGGTGAGTTTGTGTGATTTACGAATCATTATGGCAGGTTACATTTGCCCCATATTAATTCCTAGTCACGGGTAAAAACAATTTAGTGATAAAACTCACATTTTTTTGTCGATGATGAGACATCATTAGTGATATTTCCCTTTATAGTTTTCAGGACCATAGGTGTGCTGGTAGAAAAATTGGTAATGAGTTAGTTATAATGCTTTCCTCAGTACTTGTCTTTTACTTCCCCTAATTTTCACCACACTTATTGGCCTATTTCTTTTGCCTTTCCAAATCTTCCTTCCCATACTCGAGGCCGTTTTGAAATGTTAACTTTGCAGACCGTCGAAGCAGGCGTCGGCACCAACGCAACTGATTGGAGGGGGGAAGCGGCAGATCTACTCGAGGCCCCGAGAGGTACGCAGCCCCTGGGGCGTGCACGTGACTTCGACTAAGACAGCGTCAGAATTGATGAATGAGATGAAACATGCGTTGAAGGCGGTGAAGGGTTGTCAGTGGGAGGCGGACTCTCAGTGGATGTACTTGCTGCATTGTGGATGGTCAGAAGTGCTTTCGGATAGCAGCAACACAGAGGAGAGTGTAGAGATGGTAGAGGTGGGTTTAACGACGGGTGGAAGGGCCGGAACGACTGCAGGATTGGGAGAACTGGAGAGGCCGAGGGGTGTGGCCTCTTCGTCAGTCTCCTCGGATATGCTACAGTGGCAGATGGAAGTATGTTCCATTCCGCGTCTACATCAAA